GGTGTGGTGTCGGTGGTGGTGGCGGGCCGGTGTCGCCGCCTAGCGCTAAGAGGCTGCACCACCGAAGAAGATGATGACGCAGCCGCTTGGGATCCCCAGGACCAGCTAGCACGTGGTCCTGCTCCATCAGTGCTGGAGCAGTGGCAGCTGATATCGGCTGAGCCGGGGGCTCCGAACTTGGTGTAGTCGTCACCGCCCTACGACGTCTAATCAAGTCTGACATCTGCACAATTTCATTAATTAAATTTAGTACATACAATGTCATTAAAAAATTGAACTAATTAATTAAAATCATAGTTTGACCTAGGGTTTACGATTTCGGAGTATCCGGGACTCCGATCCACGATCCGTTGAATCCTAAACGATCCTATAAATACATGGTACCACATACGTGAGTTTCAGCTCGATCCAACGGTCCGAACATATCAAACCCAAAAATTGCACAATAGGTTCGATCCGTTCGAGACTCAAACGGTAACCAAATTCCAATCCGAGCACACCTACGCGCTCGTGACAACGAAATGTTTGCACTGGGACCCAATGCCCTATGCCACAGTACCTCACGCGCCACCACACGCGCCAGTAGCGCGTGGGTGCCCAAAGCGATAACAATCACCGGGAAATCCTAAAAATTAAGGGCCAAGGTTCGTACCCTAGGTTCAAAACATCAATTGGAGGCACTTTTATTCTCAGACCTATCCCGAAAAAAGGCCGGAAGTGGCCGGAATTTCAATTTCAAAACCGGCCGAAACCTAGGGTTTCAAATTCACTACCCTATGCACACAATCAATCAAATCCTACCCAACCATCAGCTAAAGCATCAAAAATAGTCCAGAAAGCATACCTCAATTGCCGGATTTGGTGCCCGGAGGATAGAGAACAACGGCGGCGAAGATTCGGCCTAAACGAAGGAAATCACTGCGGCAGAATGAGGGGCGACGGCGGAGAAGCTCCAGGGTTCGACGCTTGTGGCGGCAGGGTCTGAATTGGGGCGGAGTAGGGGCTGAGGTCACAGCGGAGAGAGACGGAGGTTTTAGGGTTCAAGTTTGAGAAACTGGGGAAGAAGGAGAAGATCGCGATTTTCAGAAAACTTATTCGACTTTGCGCGACGAATAACAAAATGTGTCGCTCAAAATTCATTTAAATAACTTTTGCGTAACGAAAAACTAACTTTCTGTCGCGTAAGGTTCTGAAAATATCACCTTTGGCGACGTAAAACCCTACTCTCGTCGTGCAAAGTTCTGAAAATATCACCTTTGCGCGATGAAAGAACTTGTTTCGTCGCCCAAATTTTGGGATTTGATTTTGCGCGGGGAAGATAAATGAAATGACATTGCGCGACGAAGGGGACTTGTGTTCGTCGCGCAATCTAGATTTTTGCCAAAAAAAATTTCGCTAAGTGTTGGAGCGGAGAAGGGCTAAAATTCTTTCTCACGTTGCGCGACGAATGCAAGGTCCATTCGTCGCTAATGATTTGCGCGATGAATTCAAGGTTATTTCGTCGCGCAAACCCATACCCTTGTACCCTAAACCCTAAAACCTATACCCTAAGCCCTAAACCCGAACTCCTGAACTAGTTTCAATGATCCAACCAGCAATCTTCTTTTTTTATAGTTCAAGATCGTATACGTCAAAAATCAGAATGAATGAACATTCAGAGATTGAGTAATGGGACAAAACTTTTTGACGATTCTAAACAAATTGTCCCGATTCAACGGTGATTTTAACTCCGATTTTGAAATTTTTTTACAGCTGCGGTTCTTGACCCTATATGAATACAGAGATGTAATTCGATCTTCAATTTCAGATATTTACAGTACAGGACATCACATAATCTTATGTTATACTGAATGAATGTATAAATAAATTCTTCAATCTTGATGAATATTGTGTTTTGATGGAATACGCATTCTAGGAAGCTAGTTTCAGTAATCCAGCAGTCAAATATGTTTGTTTATACTTCGAGATCGTATACGTCGAAAATGAGAAAAAAAAAAATATTCAGAGATCAAGCAACGGGACAAAACTTTTCGACGGTTATAAACGAAAAGTCATGATTTAACGGTTATTTTGACTCTGATTTTGATGATTTTTTACAGCTACACTGTTTAACCCTATGTGAATACAGTGAACTACTTCGATCGTCAATTTCAAATATATACGTGTGTATATATCCAAAAAAAATATATATATATATGTTTGCGCGACGAGGTCTTTTTGTTCGTCGCGCAAAATTTACTTGCGCGACGGAATTATTTGTCGCGCAAAATGTAGAGTATGCGCGACGTGATATTTTCCGTCGCGCAAAATGTGCGCGACAATGATGCCTTCGTCGCGCAAGGTTATTTTCATTCACATATT